CCCCGAGAGGTCCCAAAAACCCCAAAATTCTGGAAATCCTAAAATTATGAAAAAATTCCCAAATTTTTTTTTGGGAAAACCCCCCAAAAAAGGGAATTTTTGGCCCAAAAAAGCCCCAAAATTCAGGGAAATTCCCCAAAATTCAGGAAATCCTAAAATTATGGAAAAATTCCTCAAAATTTTTGGGAAAATCCAAAAAAAAAAAGGAAAAAATGCCAAAAATTCCCTTTTTTTTGGTGGATTTCCTGAAAAATCTGGGAATTTTTTCCTTAATTTTAGGATTTTCTGAATTTTGGGGAAATTTCCCTCAATTTTGGGGTTTTTTTTCCTTCAACTTTTGGCGGGATTTTTCCCCAAATTTTCAAATTTTTTTTAATTTTTTGAGGAATTTCCCTTCAATTTTTCTGGAATTTCCCTCAATTTTCCACTCTCTTTTTTTATGGAAATACCCCAAATTTTGGGAATCTCAAACTCCATAATTTTTATTTTTTTGGGAATTTTTTCTCTTTTTTTTTCGTGCTTTTCCCCTCCCAAAATATTTTGGGGAATTTTCCTAAAAATTTTGTAATTTTGTGCTTTAAATTAATAAAAACTTCGCTTCTGCACCGAATTTCTCCGAGGTTTTTTTGGGAAAATTGGGATTTTTGGGGAAAATTTGAGTTTTTTGGGAAAATTTGGGGGGTTTTTTTGGGAAAATTGGGAATTTTTTGGGGGGAAAATCGTGGGGTTTTTTGGGAAAATCGGGAAATTTTTTTGGGAAAATGGGATTTTTTTTTGGAAAATCGGGTTTTTTTAGAAAAATCGGGAATTTTTTTTTGAAAATCGGGTTTTTGGGGGGAAAACCGGGAATTTTTTGGGGAAAAATCGTGGGTTTTTTGGGAAAAATGATATTTTTTTGGGCAGAAAAATCGGGGGGTTTTTTGGAAAATCGGGAATTTTTTGGGAAAATTTGGGGTTTTTTTGGGGAAAAATCGGGGTTTTTTGGGAATTTTCTTTTTCTTTTTATTTTGGGAAAACTCCAATTCCCAGAATCCCTCGCGCTCGGGGGGGGTTTTGGGGGGGTTCCCGGTCCTAAATCCCCCCCTTAAGCCGGGATTAACCCGGGATTAAACCCGAGCATGGC